AAGAGTGTGGTACTTGCAGCTGTTACCAATCTGAATAACACTGCAGTAATTCACCAGTTCGTGTGGAAAACCACAGTAGTTAACAAATGATCGAAACCTAACTGACACCACATCTATGCTACTCAATTTTCCTAGCAGAGATGTGTCAAAATGGAGCTGAAAGAAGTCACATCCTTAATTAATAAAGCTACTTCAACAACAACCTGGAGTACAGACAGCTGTGTTGGCAAGGAAGCACTTCTGTTAGCAGAGTTTATTCTGTTCATGAACGTGGCTGACTCAAAACCAACCAAACAAAACAGTTTCAACAAGGGAATTCATCAGTGGAATAGTCAGAGCTACAGAGGCTGAGACAAACTCAGAGAAACCCTGCAAGAGTGGAAAACCTGTCACAAAGACTGCACAGACTGCACACTACTATGAACACTGGTTAAAGTCACCTTTCTTTGTTAAAGAAAAATATCTTCAAATTATAGTCTCAAAACTAACTTCATTATATATTTTTAATTTTTTTCATTCATTTAATCTTTTATTGTACCTTACTTAGCAAATTACCACAAGTCTGTTCAAGTCAGGGACAACTTGCACCAGAGCAGATCTGTTTACTGTATTACACAGTTCCTCAGGTTATTCTGCCTGCAATCATTCTCTGCTGTTCTGCCTTTAAAAGCTTGGGAAATCTTATGTTCAGTATAGTATAAATAACTAGATGTGTATATCACTACACCTTTTGTTGTTTGCGAGAAAAAAAATGGTCCCTTTGCAATATTTTCAAGTATTATTTCTCGATTTACATGGCACTGCTTATAAATTAAAAATCAAAGTTTAAGCGGCCTCTGATCTTCTTTCCTGAGGGATGTGAGTAACTCAGGAAAATAATATAAGGTGGTTCTATTCCTTCTTTAATTATGTATTTGGAGCTGTTCCAGTTTTTCTAGTTAATAATAAATTAGCTTTCCTCCAAAGTTTTTAAAAGAAACAATTTAATATAAAATACACATTTGAATAGTGTCAGCTTTATGAATCCAAGCAATAAAATTTAGGAGCCAAAACTTAAGGAAAGCATGGGTCATGACAATTCCAGCTCTAAGTCAAAATATCATAGTCTACACAGTGTAATTTTAATGCTGCAATTACATCGGAATAATTTTATTCCACTGAGGAATATGCAGCTACTGTTGGGCATAACTACTCATACTCCTAGCTACAGCACCATAGCACACTTTATTTCAGATGCAATTTCTACTCATTATGAAATCCATAGACAAGGGAAGCAGATCATAAAAAATAATCAAAAGCAATCAATATTTTGTGCATTGAAAAATTATAAACCCAATTTGTTAATTCTTTGATGCAAATTTAGGTGAATCAAACAAATTCCTAGAATTAATTGTATTCCCACAAATATTAACTACGTATTTGAAGGTATTACTACACTATCTGGCCAAGCAAAAATCCATGTGAAATAGCAGCTCACTTACAGGAGCATGATTTTCCTCATCTGTTTTCCTCTTAGCTTCCATTTCCAATACAAGTCAGACTTCAGGCTGACAGAGGAGGCCAGCCTCCAGCATAAGACACTCTGCACATGGTGAAATACACCTCACAGAATTAAATGAAGACAGTAAGACTCAGCTGCAGGCTTATAGTAACGTATGAAGAGACGTCAGAAATTGTCTCATTCAAACTCTGGATTCAGACACAACATTTCACTTGTTAGATCCAGTTTCTTGTACAAGGTGCAGCACATCCTAACACCTCTCTGGCCCTGGCCAATTTAGGGCACTCAAGCACTATGCTTCCTCGATCAATCACTTGCAGTACATAAGCTCCCACGTTACCTAACTAAATTCTGAACGACCCCAAGGAGCAACCCGGTCACGGTTTCCATTTAGACTGCCTTCTTGTTTCAATAAATCAACATAACTTCCTGGCTCCTTGGTTAATAATATGTTTTGGAAGACTGCACTGCAGTAATCTAAGGACATATCTAGCAACATGCAGCGGTCTCTCTACCACCTGTTCTGTAAAGTAAAAAGATGTTTAGTTACATTCATTTGGGAGTAAGCTCCCACAGATACTTCCTATGTCATTAGCATCTTTCCTTCCTGGCAAAGGTAATGATTCCTCAGCCTTTATCAAGGGTTCTATTTTGTTCAGGCAGTGAGACATTTCAAAGAAGAGCAGGAGGGCTGGGAGCTGTCAGAACAGAAGGTGTAGAGCTGCACTATGGTTTCATTTCAGTTTTGACTAGTGAAGGGGACTGGGTGCAGAGAACTCCAAGAAGAATAAAGTTTCAGTCACCCTGTGCAATATCCTGGAGAAAAAAGATGAAGAGAAGCTTAACATTCCCAGAAATTACTGGCACTCACATCACCATACTTTCTCCTCATGCGTCCTGCTTCAAGAATTCTTTTCTGAAGCCTTTGCCTAAGGCTTTGCTAAAGCTTATGTCCTGGATTTACTGCAGGAAATGACCTTGTGCTGGATAGCTTTTATTAAGGTACTTGCTCAATGTAAGTTTCTTACAACCATCAGGGAAAAAGAATAGTAAAGTTGATACCACAAGTAAAGACAAGTGCACATACACAACAAGCATCTCACGAGAATATGGAGAGCTTTTGAATGATGTGATCTTCATCTAAGTTCTATGAAGTCTTCACTACATTTAGCTTTTGTTACAGTAGAAACAAGAAGTAATCCATGGTTCACAAACTAATTCTTATGGAACTGAGAATGGAGTCAGCTCCTAGGCTTTCTGAAACACTAATTCAGTGTTGAGGGAGAGACTGCTTCTGTTAAAAAGAAGCCACACTGGTAGCTGGACAAAGCCCAGCAAGGCTGCTGCATGGGCTGAGCACAAGACAGACCATCTTCTGCTGTAGGTCTGGCAGCACTATTCAAGTTTGCGAGATGAAATGAGACCACAAAACCTCTGTCTTCACTTTGCAGAGACCAGAGTTTGGTGGCACTGGCTTCACTTGAGGGCCCAATGGCCACATTATGAGCTTCTCTCCTTCATAAAACCTCATACTGCTTACATATACTAGAATCAGGATATAAATCAGCCCTGCATACCTAACTGCAGAAATCCCATTCCCAATACTGGAACCCAGGACAACACCACAACTTTAGTAAATTCAAACAGAAGCCAATTGTCTTAAACAACACAGACAGTTGAATGGGATGAAATTTAATATGGTACCTGAGAGGATCTAGTGAATCCCAAAACAGAAAAGCATTTTCCTTCTGTTTTGTATTTCATTTGCTCTTCATCTTCCTTGGAAAAAGGAACTATATCACTTCCATAGCGAAAACCTGGAGAACAAGAGAGGAGCATCTGGTAAGCATATGGGCCTTCAATTCTAACATCAAAATTAGCTCTCTGAATATTTTAACAATGCATTCATGCCCCACAGCTACACTCCACACATGCTCATCAAATTACTTTCCCTGTTAACAAAAAAAACACACACCCATAGACACATTTTGTACTTCATGAACAGCAGTTTGCAGTCCTTTTATGTAGCACAAGTACCCTCATAGAGAGCAGGAAAGAAAATAAGGGAACTGAACATCTTGCCCAACAAAGTTAAGCTCACAGAATAGATTTCAGCAAATCAGAACAGATTTCAGCAGATTGCAACACTCCCTGCAAACATAATACAAAAAACCTCTAACATACCACAAATCACACCACAGGAGATGACACCAGAAGAGATTCAGAGGATAAAATGTGTTAACAGTGGAAGTAAGATACACCCTCATGCAATGGAAAACCAAAACACTCTTGTATGCAGAACTGGTCTTTCCATATATTTCTGTGTTTTACTTCTTATGCCTTACATTATAGGGATATCTCCACAAAGTAGGAAGCTGCAATTTCTCAGAGGCATCATCTGTTCCAACTGATTATTCCCCTATCTCAAGCTCCTATATCCTCCCTGTAACATCATCACTTTATTATGCTGTCACAGACTAAGGATGATATCCTCAGGTGCAAAGAAAGCAGAAGGATGAAACACCTATAAGCAGATACATTTTCCTGGAAACTGAAAAACAAACACACAGGTGTACCAAAAGAAATTTTGGTACAGATGCTCCAAATACAATATATTGTCTAATTATGACATTTCTCAAAAGATCTACAAAAGTCCAGGAGGCAGCATCAGCTCTTTAAGCACAAGAAATATCACATAGGGAAATTTTTGGTCACTTTTGTTCACCACTTCTTTTTACTAGTATCCCACAACTAACTTAGGCAGTCAGAAGATTAGCTGAGAATGGTCATGAATGCTTCAAAATACATTCACTATAACAAGTGACTACTAGTTTTTAACTATTGTTTCTGCTTAAAGAAACAAAGAAAATCACACTGTCACTGGGACTTCATTTGATATTGCTACAAAACACTAAGAATGCAACAATGAAATGAGAGTAAATAAAAAGAAGTACAGTATTGATTTCTCAATTTGTCATTCATTTGATAGCGGTTTCTGTACTGTTATCTGAATAGTTCTGCCCTTTATAGTTAATACATTTGCCTTACTTGTGCAGGATTGAAACAGCAAAGGAAAGAAAAAATCTAGTAACAAAATGTATCAATACAATTGCAAAAAACTCAAGATTTGCTTAACTCCATTTTTAAAAGCAAGTACACTATTTCCTGCTGTTTCTGGGGCCTTTAGTCTTCTAAGGAAATTAATCCTCTCAGAAAGAAGCTGCAGGTTATAAAAGAAGTATTCTGCATACACTACTTGAGATTGAACCTGTTACAGTACAGCAAAGCTAATAGACTCTCGAACACTAAACCTTCCTTTGATGGTTTCATCTTTCCAATTGCAGAGTAACTAGAGCAGTCGCTCATCTAGAAAAAAGCAGCATTATGAAAGCATTCATGTTATCAGTACAACTGGAGATCTGAAAACAGAAGAGAACTCAATACAGAACTGAGGTACAGCCCTGCACAGAGTATCCCTCAGGAAGCTGTAGTGCCTTCCAAGTTCCACCTGGTGGTATTATTATTATTCCTAGCACTGGCAAATGTAAGAATTTTTTAAATATGTGATGACAAAGAGCCACCTAATTCTAGCTATGTGATGACATAGCAGTCTCTGTGTTCCATCAGCCTATAGAACTCACATTTTAAGATCACAACTAGGCTTCAAGGTATAAAACTAACAGGCACTTAGGTGATTTAGGAGTACAAGCCATTGTCTTCAATTTGTCTTCAGGGTGCACATAAAGACTTTGTACCTTGAATAGTATCATCTTTCTGAACCTCTGTCTCATCATCATCATTCAAGCAGTAAACAGTTTCTCTTTGCACATCATCTCTTCTGAGGGTTTTGGCATCCACAACTGTCCAAACTTTTTTCACCTTCTCTTCTGTGACCTTGATATCAGAATTCAAAGAAAAAAAGTTGAAAAGTTTAACATTTAGCTGCATATTTCTCTTGGTTATTCATTAAACCCTTAGGTTAAGTCATTTGTGGAAGTCTTGGTCACAGGATAACATGTAACTTGCTTGCTATGTATTTTACTTCTTCCACCGATATAAATACTTTTGGCAAAGCATTAAGATATATGTCAAAGATAAAAGAAGACTCAGTGTTCATTCAGCTTGTTTGTCCAACTTTTCCATCAGACTTACTAGACTACAGGATTAAAATACTTCTTTTGACTGCAACTTCCCCAAAAGGCAGAAAGATCCCAGTTGCATTATGGGACTGAAAGGGGAAAGAAGGAATAAGTATGTGCAATGAATGACTGTTTCCAGCTACAGGGAAATAAAACTGCTTTTCTTTTCTCTCTACTTAAGTTTAATTGATGGTATACTTAGTGAATGAGAATAAACATGGAACAAAGTATGACCCCAGGCCAATCACTCAGTTCACATTGCTTACTCTTCCCAAGCTTAGTTTATTTCATCTGTAAACACCTTTGAGAAGGGACTCTTAGTGCACATTTGCACAGGCCCGGCACAACAGCCTAATTAAAAAACCCTATGAACAAGTACAAATAGAAAGCTGATCTCTTTCAAGGCTAGTATGCCTGTCTCTCAAATCAGGTATTTTTCAACTTCATAATATCAGACTCTTAGTCTTGGGTTCAAATAACAAACACATTAATGTCCATCTCACCAGATCCACCAATACTGCCACATTATACAGTTACCTACTAAGTACTGGAAATTTGCAAATTTTCTGTGTTTAAATACACTTACTTCCTCCTAGCACTGTGTGAAGGACCAATATAAAACATAAGGGAGACAGACTGGGCCCAAGGTCTGCCAAACAGTATAAGACAAACAAGCTGAAAAAATACACCTTTGTTTTTTTCCCAAGTCTGAAATAACAACAGATGTGATTTGAAACAGTGGCTGGTAAAACATTTATACCCACCATTTTACATACACATGTGCAAAATTCCTCCCATGCCTTGGGCTTATATATAAAGTCTCGCTGGAGCTGCAGACATATCACTGATGCCACAGGTAAAGCTTCAATAATTACAGCATTCTTAATCAGGTTCCTCAACTTCAACACCATTAAGTGTCACAGTGTAGATAGCAATTACTTCTATTTCTGCACATTGTGAATTTCATTTATTTAACATGTGTACAATATGGTGAAGTTGCTGTGGGAACCACATTTTTAGATGCACTGGCTTCTAAGCACATAAAAATCTCTATGCTAATAATTTGGGGGTTTGTCTTTTATTTTCTTAGCTTTCAGGAATAAAAATGCAGCTGCACCTAACTTGTTGCCAAATTACACTAAAACACATGATTTTATGAACTTACTGATTTGTAGGCCACAATCCTTATAGACAAATCAGAACCAATAGTGAGCTGACAGGGCCAAGCCACAGGCCTTCTTTCTATTTTCTTAAACATGGAAAGACGTTCCAGGCTCTCTCTAAATGAAGAATCAGGAAAACAGAAATGAACTCTGGTGAACTGTAATAAAATATTATAGACAATATACTCTCTTTGAGGAAATCCAGGAGTCCAATTGTTTGAGCTTAGAATGCATGAAGCATTAGAACATAAACTACATGAATAATCTTGCCATTAACCATTGTCAGTAGATTATTCCCATTTTGACCCTCTCTGATGATGTGACATTAAGGCTTAAAGACAATATGTTGGGCCTTGTGATGAAACTACACAATTGCCTACAGAGCATTTTACACTTATCTGTGCTCACCCCAATCAGGGCATGCAGCCAACTGAACACTACAAAAGAGAAAAGGCTCTCTAAGTGGCAAAATGGTTTTTACAGTGAAGGTGAAGAAATAAAGAATCCAGTTTCAATTAAAGGGATTTTTTTTGTGTAGCAATTAACTTTTGACACATTTTTTTATACAGTACTAACAAACTCATTATTTTAAGGGCATTCTTTCAGAGTGAAAGAAGTTACTTTGACTATTTCTAGCCTAAACAGCAGATACACAAGTTCAAAAAACACAAAAAAAGGGAACTGCAATAATTTTGTACTGAAAAGTGGTAACTTAACTGCACTACTTTAAGCAATGGAGTCCAAAAACACATCTGCAGTAACTTATAATATACCATTGTGAATTCAAACAGGCCTGTACCCCAGGACAGCTTTCAGCTAATACAAACTGTACTGGCTACTTTGCTGTAAAATTCCAACACAGAGAAAGCTCTCAATTTTTTTTATTGCATGATGATGCAAAGATAAAACAATGCTGACCTCATCTTTTTCACATTATGATAAAACCTGAAATCTACTTCTCTCTTGATTAAAGCACTTGTCTGGCAGAAATCAGTACAGAATTCAACCTGGCATTCTCCTTTTCAAGTTTCTTAAGATGATCAGGGTTTTTTTTGAAAATTCTAACAAAAGCACAATGAAAGGGGAAAAATTCACTGGGATTTTTATAATGAGATAAAC